GCGCCTGCTGGGCAGTGCTGAGTCTTTTGAGCTGAAACGTGGCCAGCTGGGTCAGCTGAGTCAGCTGGGTCTTAGGGGAGTCTTTAGGGGAGTCTTTAGCGGTCTCAAGTGGGCCTACATGATGTCTACATGGAGAGGTGAGGTACATGAACCAACTGTGAAAAAGGGTAGACGGTAGAGTTGTGTCTGACATTGTGAAGCCAGTTGCTGGCCATTTCTTCAGTGCTCCCACCCAGGAGCACAAACGGCATTCATTGTTTGAAGAGAGTGCACTGTGAATAACACTGGTTAAGTGTGAGTCTTTAAGGTTATTTTGAGAAATTATGAACACTGACTGGGTGAATTGTCCAATCATGTCCAATCTCCGAATCTCCGCCCGAATCGTCCAAGGCCCAGGTGGCAGGGGTGGACAGCGGCAGCCTGGCTGAGGCGGAAGCAAGGCTCAGGACCCCTCGCTGCGACCCAGTGGCGGGTGGTGGAAGCAGTGGTTGGTGGGAATTTTGGTCGGTGGATAGGAGCCCATGTTAATCCCTTGTTCATCCATGTTAATGCTTAGCCTGTAGATGTATTTATCATATATATATAGTTATAATATAGGTTTGTAATGCGCCCGTTGCATCGCAGACGTTTGGGAGAACTGCTGGGTGCTGAACACATCGCACTATATATATATATGGGGGTGAGAACATCTAGGAGCCACTTGGAGAAAAGACGAACGGATACGAACGGTATGATCGATTATGATTTGATGTGTTTAAACCAATCTGGCGACTTATTGATCTTCTTCCGCGTAAATCCAGGAGAGGACAACTTGAAAGTGCTACAGGTTCTTGGATTGCCTTGCCCCTATGCGGCTGTCAAAGGATGACCAGGAATGCCAAAGTGACTGATATATATATATACACGGCACCTATTATATGAATCTGGCAGGTGAACCTGGTCTGTTGCGCAATCACAACCTCCAACGATTAAGAGCACTACCAGGGCTGTTTGGCGGCTTTTCGCGCACTGAACCGTTTCAGGGCGTGTTCGCATTTGTGTGCGTTCCAACATTCTCCAGCTCAAGAGGACCTTGACGGCGGAACGCGAGCTCCAAGACGCAGGAGTTGGGAGCTCCAAGATGCGGGAAACAGCAGGAAGGTGAGACCCACGAAGTGTTTTGGAGGGATGGAATCCGATGGACAAGTTGGGGTGGTATACAGCCGAATGCAACAGACCCTATAGGGCTTTTGTTTTTTGGGTGTTCTTCTTGAGTGTTCTTCTTGATTTCGAGGCTTGTGACTAGGTTTGGCACAGACACTTCGACGGCAGAAGACAGGTGATGGGCTGTTGTTTTCTGCATTGGTTGTCAATGACCGGAATTTGTTTGGGTAGGCGGGGAAGCCTTTGCCTCTTGCCCTTGGACAAGTGAGCTTTAAGTGAGTCGCACATGGGTTGCAAGTCCGCATCAAGCGCAACAGAAGCAGAGCCAAGATTGACTCCCACTACTCACCAACAAACAGCGCCGAAGACCTGTTAGACTCAAGAGCGAGAGAGGGGAGAGAGAGAGAGATGTGTCATCGTGTTTGGGTTGGGTGCTTAGGCTCCCGGAAACGCAAATCATTGAAATTGAAACAGTCTGAAGACCCGTGGTGGCGAGAATTGGCAGAGTGTAGAGCCACTCTTCAGCTGAATCGATAACACCAACCAACTCCGCGAACTGGGCTTTGCCCATCAAGCAGTTACCAGAACTGCTAAGACTTGGGCGACCAACAGAACTGAAAACAGAATGTGGCCTGACAGCCGGGGGCGCCATGTCGTCCAGAGCTGCTCTCCTGCATGATTTGGAGAAGAAGCGGCAGGAGTCCTGCAACTGATGAGATGATGAGTTGCATTGTCCCTACCCGCGGTTTTTTTGGGATCATCTTTCGCAGAGACGGTAGGAACTCGCTTGACGTGCTGCTGCGCTTCAAGAATCCACTTGTTTGTCGCGCTAAACAGCCGCAGCGGCTGCAAGCAGCAGCGCTGTTTCTTGTGGTCACAGTGGCACAGATCCGCCAAACTTCTGCAGGAGCGTGAAAAGCTTCGGCAGAGCAATGCCAAGGAGTTTGGGCAAACATGTTGGGAATGGGATCGGGCTCAGTGGCCAGATGCCTCATGATACCTGATACCTCAGACTTTTCGGCACCACAGTTGCATGACACAAACATGACACAGGTCCTGCCTTGTCACATGCCCCTTCATGGCATCGCCATTCTGGTTTTCTCTCAAAAATCCATGAAGATCATGAAGATCATGCGTGAAAACGCATGGCATACGCCAGTGCATACGCCACACGCCACTAATGAATGCACATCAGCTTAAGGCCCAATTTCTTTGAATGCTGTGCTCAGGACGCCGAGGCCGAGGCCCAGCGCCAGGCGGCGGCGGTGAAGCTCCAGAGCTTCGCCGCTCGGAGAATGAACGGGTTCGACCGGAACGTTGGAGCGGACGGCGACCCAGGGGTTTGGTGGGGATGGTGTTCCAAAAGGGTTGTACTATCTGGTGACTATCCTTAAATATCATAATGATTCGGAATGTATCAACTCTTGATTGATGCAAGTCCACCCTATGAGACGGTTTTGCCATCCAAATGGGCTTGTATATGCTTGTATTGATTCATCAAGAGTCTACATTGATGGTGAAACATCGTCGTTTCCACCTGCATTTTTGCACAAGGTGGAACAACATAGCATTGAACCACGCGAACTATAAAAATCGCAGGATTTCCCACATATTTGGCTTTATTAAAGATAGCGTTGGATCTTCGGACTGGGCCCGGACACGTCCGGGCGGTGGGTGAGGTCCGCAGTGTCCTGGCGCGAAGTCAATGGGCGGAGCTCGAGTGGAAGAGCCTGCAGCCGCTTGGATGCGATGGGCCGTTGAACAAATGCTCAGAAACAAAGAAAACCGAAAGGTCCGAGATGATCCAAGTCTTTTCATTCCGAAGTAGATTCTAAGTAGATGAAACAACCCTCAAAGGCCCATCATATGTATTATACATCATATACATAGAAGTACAGTGTGTATATATATATATATAGACTGAATTTATATGACTGTATATATATATATTTGTATGTATGTATATGTTTCTCTCTATCTATAGAATCTATAGAGAGATTGTTCCAAGAACGTTGGCTTCTGTATGGTATAGTGGTTCGCTCCAAGTGCACCCTGAGACACTCGCCCAGAAACACGACTTCGCTACAGGAAGCAGGTCTCCGACTTGCAGAGCTTGGCGAAGATCGTGAGTCTGAAAGGTACACCGATCGCCCTCGTTTTCTTTTTTCCGGAGCTTTCGGAGCTTTGCTGCAAGAAAGATGGTTTGATACAACAGGGGCCCAAAACAAGGAGGATTTTCCTCTATTGAAAGCAAGTGTTTATTGTTCATTAATTGTTTTCTGCCACTAAATCAGGGTGTTCTTTTTTACGACTTCCATTGTTAGTTTTTTAAGGTGTGGTTCAATGGTTTCCTCTTGATTTGTTTTGGTGGTCTTCACATATTTTGTGGAATGTTACAGCAGGACCAGGGACCACCGCTGGCGAAAAGACTGTGTTTAGCTCCTTGATGAGAACGTTTCCAGTGTAGGACCCTCTGCTTTGCAAAAGACATCCAAAGACCATCAAAGACCTATATGGTTACCGGTGAGTAGTCATGGGATCTCAAACTCATGTTGTGCTGGAAAGGCAAAGCAGGCTCACCTGAGGGATATGGAAAACACGAATCAACTCACCAAATCCAAATGACACTTAGCCATGCTATAAAGGATAGATAGATAAAGTAAGACCGTAAGACCATCGCTCTATGACATTACTGTAGATGATTTACTGTACTAGACAAGGCTGGCTTTTGCCACACGGTATTTAGATCATCCTACAATGCCACCAAAGTGTTCCAAAACCATCAAGGGAGTTTGTCACATTTAGTAGCCGGGTGTTCGGAGGAAGCCTAAGTAGCTCAGGGTACGCAGACGTCCGTATTTAAAACAGGGGTGACAAGGAGCCACAGAGAGTTCCCTAAGCACTTGCCCGTTCAGGTTGCACTGGACGGTATGTCGATGGCCTCCAAACAGATGGGGCAGAAGAGTGGGCAGAAGGTGAAGACCCTGATGGCAAACGATTCTCCATTCAATTGGGGACCATGTATGACCAGACATCGCAGAAATGGTCTATCTGTGGATATTGATTGCAGCCCACCACCATGGCAATCCCAACGATGTGAAACCACTGGTCTGCAAATAGACACAGTCGCATCGTTAAACACCACGCAGGGCAGCAATTCCTGGCACCGGGAAAGATCCTGCTGCTTTTGATGAGGAGATCCTACTGGCAGGCAAGGACGGGGACCTCAACAAAATGATTGATTCATATGCATTCTGTTCTTTGTGGTTTGGGCACGGTTGATGGGATGTTGACGTTGTTGGCTGATTGGTGGGTGGCGTTCTATTCGTTTGCTTGATTGTTTTCCTGCACATGTTCTGGGTGCCCGGAGAGGTCAAGCGTGTGGGTCGCCCTGCTGATCAGCTGGCAGAGGCTGGTTTCGTGCTGTGTGATGCTGTGTGCTTGTTATTAATTGTTGTATATATATATATGTTGGTGATTCGTTGGCACACATATACAATTAATTAGTTACAAAATATATACAGCTCATTGTTCATCAAGCTTATACACTTTTGGTTTGTGACCGGCGCGGGTTGATCTTAGGGAGAGGGAATTTGAGGTTGCTTTGCTTTGAATGCATCAAACAATTTCCGGTTCTACCATTCTACCCCACTGCAGAACGAATGTGGCGTTTGGGTATCCGCATTTCAGCACGGAAGTTTTGTTCACAAGCATGTCCAGAATAGTCGCGGCCCCACATTTAAGAGTGTGAGAACGTTTTTACTTTGCATTGCAAGCAAGAGATTGAGCTATAGTGCAGCTGTATGTATGTGGGCAGGCAGGCAAGAACAGCGACTAGGTCTTGCCCATATCCAGCCATGGAGTGCTGGGAGTTTCTCACAGATGCTTGGCTGTCCTCCCTGGTTGGCCAGCAGCTCAACATTGAACACTTTGATGTCCTCGAAGCTGAGGGCAACTCTTCAAGTACTCTGGTGAAAGTTCAATGCAAGACAGACACGCTCATGCTCAAGGTCACACGCCAAGTTGCGGCCGATGCTCTGGCAGCCTTGGTTGACAGGGCCGCTTAGCTGCTGAAGTGTGCAAACGTTGAATATGTTTTTTGTGGCTACACCGTCACCATCTTCAGCCGCAAGCTCACGAAACACGAAAACCTGATTCTGTGACCGTAGGACCCAAACTTCATGTGCAATGTGACCTTCACAACCAAAAAACAAAATCCGCCAAATTAATGTAGACCATTCATAGGGCAACTCAATTTGCCACTTGCGCTACAGTTTTCCATTTCTTTCGACTTGGGGAGTTGATGACATCACGTGCCGTGAAGATCCGTGATGCTCCATGGATGGCTTTAACAGATTCGGAAGAGAGTAGGACACGAACAATGTTTCATGTGAGGAGGCACTCTTCTATCAAACTGCATGGCAACAGCTGCACGACTTCGGCGTGGGCTTGCTGGATTTGCGTGGAGTTGAGATTCGCCCTGACATGTCTGTGATCGTGCTGGAGTTTGTGAAGGAGTTCCAGAATTTGTGATCTTGCCTGTGGTAAGGCCCCTCCCAGGCTTTGATAAGGCCATGTAGCGAAATAATAACATATATTAGATTAAATATATATTCTCGGGAGTTCAGATCAGGAACATTGAAACAACCCCTCAACCAACTCAAAGGCTGTCCATGAGGGATTGTGATTCTGTTTGGCCCTATCAACGGTGAGGATGGTTGGCGCACCGGCTCAAATTCTGGACTTGTGAGCCTTGGAATGACCTGGACTTGCTTGAGTCGCGCCAAACGCAGCTGAAACCACGAAGAATAACGGCCTGTATGGCGTGGAATCGTGGAACCGAAGCACCGAAACTAAGGAGACGTCAAGCTGAAGCATTGATCAGTCTCCTGGCTCGTGTTCACGCCTGGGGTCTGAAGGGCAAGGACAGCTTGCCATGGCTGCAAGATTGCCGTGACGGATACTTGTTGAAGCATGGCCTGCCTGACTTGTTTCGAAGCAGCGTGGCCAAGATCACAGAAGAGAAAACGGAAGCCTTGCTGGGCACAGCGGACACCCGAAACGTCATGGACATGCTGCAAACATTAGCAAAACCCGGACTCTATGAGTTCGCTGTAGACATGGTGATGCAGAGCAGCCCCATGACCATTGTCCACATGGACGCCCGACAAGGAAATGCCTTCTTTGAGGAGGAGAAGGAGGAGGAGGGGAACAGCACTGCGAGCCACGCGACGGCTGAAGGAGTGAAACTCTTTGATTGGCAGAATGTTTCTAGAGGTGGAGGTGCTTTGGATTTGGCCTACACGCTCAGTGGTTCTTTGTCCGTGTGTGACCGGCGTGCGTGGCAAGAAGATTTGCTGGCACAGTACCTACAGGAATTTTGTCAGCTTTCCGGCAGCTCATATTCGCTAGATGAGCTTAAGGATGACTATCGGAAAGCCTTGATATGGCCACTTGTTTGGGCAGCACTGACCTGTGCAGATGTTGAAGGCACGGTGGACCATTGCGCCGGTCCCATCTTGGGAGGAGCTTGCAGCGCGGAGGAGCTGGCCAAGCGGAGCCACGCCAGGGAGGTGGCCAGGGACTTTGTGACCGTGGGCGCTGAACGGTATCTTCGAGCAGCGTTGGATGAAGGAAGTGCTCACGTCGTCGGATGAAGGACACGTCGACGTCGCCCAGTGAGGTCAGTCATGGCCGGATGAGATCACGGAACACCATGTACAGTGTACAGACAGGCAGATATGTACAGGATGCAATTTGCCTTCCCCAGCCCTGAGGATCCTCCTACATATGTTAGGGCTCCTAGGGGATCCTGCAGGTTTGGGGAGGTAATTAGTGATATGTCATGATGGCTGTCCGAGATTTGATGAACAGGGCTCGAGAGTTGTCAAGAGGGGTCTGTTGAAGGACCATCCGGGGAGCATTCACAGAAGTATACACCAGGAGCATTCACAGAACTATACACAGTAGTGTACAGTATGTTTTAATCTAATATGGTGAGTGGATCATGGGCAATCCTTTCCGAACTCCTGGTAGGTGCCAGCTAGTCATCAAAAGGAACTTGTGCCTCATGCAGCCTCATTTTTTGGAGATACACAGTGCAACAACTCCTACGATTGCACGGCATCTCTGCCTGGTAATTCATCGCCTAGAGTCCCAAACTTGAATGACCCGCACACCTGCAGCCAGTTGGCTGTTGGTGTGCACGACTTACGAATTACTGGCTTCTTCAATAAAGCAAGCCTTAGTTCTGTGGATGTGCTGGAATTTGGTGAGATAGTGTGAGGTCTGCCAGGCAACTGATAAACCTTTCCTTTTAGCTACACGAAGGACCTAAAAAGACACAAAGAGAAGATCTCCCCAGCTTGTGTAGGTCTTGTGCACCCTCACGACCTTCGTTCTGGATGGACTTCGTGTCTCTCACGCGGATGTTCAACGAAGCCTTTGAATCTTGGCCGCAACATCCTGTGAATTGGTGCAGTCATGGCGTCCGTGTCCTTCATGAGCCACCACAGTCCTCATTGAATTTTAACACATTTAAAACCCATCTTTGGACTTGTCGTTGACATCCTTTCCCTGTTTGCCTGGGTTCGGCAGTGCAGTTCAGGGCACAAGGGGCGAGTACTCACTTGAGGTTACCTGATGACGGAAGATGGCAGAGAGAAGGCGGCCCACTCAGCGGCACCTGGTCAATGATTTTGGGAGGAATTTGGAATGTATTTGGGCGTTGCAATGGTGTCACCTCAGGTGTTTTAACACATGCCGTTCTTCTTCTTATTTGTTTGATGTTGGGAATGGCTGCGTGAAACCGAAGGAAGGTGTATTGAGGACATGACAGCGGGGGACACATAGAGAAACGTACAGTAGAGGGGATTGGGACACTGGATGATGTGGGATGTCCGGTTGCGTCGGTCATGCAAATTCATTTGTCAGGCTGTGCTGATGCTGCTACAGTCCACTCGGGCACGAGGGAATACTAGAAAACAGTATGGGCCCACTCACCAAACCTATTTGGTCATTCAAGATTCCATACCTTTTTGTGGGGGCACCGTTGCTTTCTGAGCATGTGTCGAGTGTCTCGTGCTGGTTGTTTCATCCTCAATGCCCTGATCCTTGGTCATTGGTTCAGGCTCCTGCCTGGACCCTGCAAGAGTTCATGGATGCCTTGCTGCTCTTGGCCACACGGCCCGCGCAGCAGAGCCCTGGCTGAAGTGGAGCAGATAGGGAGGAGGATTTGTATAGTTGTTGGCCCATCCCAGGCCGCTGCCCTCTATCAATTTGTTTTTATCCTGCCATGAGGGTCTGTCCCTGCGCGGCCATGATTCTGGATGTCGATCATCAAAACCACCTGTTTGCTTTCCGGATCGCAGCGTTGATTCTGGCTTTCAGGGGTTGACCATATGGTTGACCCCATTTTGTTGATGCCATGGTCGGCTAGGACTAGGAGGGAGCTTGATGGAGCAGTGAATGGAGCTGTGGAGATCCATGGAGCTGTTTGTAAAGCCCAGAAGCTCCAGGGAGGGAGTTCCCAAAGCTCTTGCCAGTGCTATACAGCTAAGCAAATTGCGGGATATATATATATATACAGTATATATTTATCTATGAAGTTATATATACATTCATAATCGCCGCTCCTTTGCCTGGCGAGGCGTGGCCGGTCGGGCCCGTCGCCCGCCTGGGCGACGCGCTGCAGCCGCTGCGTCGCAGATCTCTTGGACCTTTCAACATGGGGAGGCTCTGCGAGGATCGTGTCCCGCACATTCCATAGTGTGATTTATATTGAGCGATATGTATTTATACTTCAAATCTATGTATTTTTGCATATTAAGCTATTAAGCGTCATGTAGTATATGTTACTATGTTTATAAAATATGTGCTAGGCATGGTTTGGTACATTGAGGGGTGGTTACAGGGGCAATGTAGGCATATGAGGCATATGTGGAGTATTTGGCAGGCTGGAGTTTGCTCAATTCTCGTTTCTACTGGTGATATGAGTTTCCATGGTGCTTCAGGGTGTTCGATGTTGTTCACGACAATAACCGAAGTTTTGTTGCTGGTATGTCCTTTTTTTAGAGCAAATCACCCCAGGGCGCTAATCAACATCGTGGGAGTTTTGTGGTGTGTTTTCGCAACGTGGTCGTGGCGTTTCCTCCTTTGAGAGCAGAGTGTTGCTTACAGAAAGGAGCATGACAAGAATCTGCCAGATCTAGTTGACCACATTGGAACCCGAATCGAGCAATTTTCCTTGTCCCCTCCCGCCTGACACTCTAATCCAACGTTTGGCAGGCGGCTTGGCCTTGAAGGAGAGGGTCAGATCGAGCTACTTGACCCTCAATATTCGAGGGCGGAGCAGTCTTTCAGATGTTCAAGCATGTTTGTTCAGAAAACACACCCTGGGCAGGTGGCCTCCCAAGCGGATCCAGGTGGGATGTGGTACATGCAGGCATTTGAAGGCTCCTGCTGGGCTTGGCTTGCTGCCGTTCCCCATCCCCTTTTCTATCGGATTTGAGCCTCTAGTGAAACCTAATAAAATCAAAAGTATAGATCATCACAGCCAGATCCTGGCAGACTCACCACCTGCCTTCCGTGTGGTTCGCGCCTGTTGCTCGGCAGGAGATCCCCACGGTGGCGCAGTTGCGACCAAAGCTTTTGCGCGTGACCACTGAGGCCTCAAGGCGAGGTATTGGTGGCGGTGGTGGGAGGTCAACGTGGGGGGGGCACATCACCCATGTTTGAGAAAGTAGCGGGAGGCTCTGGTGTGAAGACGCCTAAGTTCCATTAACGGAATTGGGTGTGCCCCTCAGAAATCTGAAGCTACCGAACTTCCATTTATTGCCATGTGATTGAAAGCAACACATGGCAACCCCCGCGAAAACCGGCAAGCCCACACCGTGAAATCACTACTTCCCCCCCCTGTGCAACCTGCACTCACCTCCATTCGTCTCGATGAGAAGCCCGTTTCAGGCTTCATGCATGGAGGGTTTGCGCCAGCGGCGCACCTGCCTGGGGCAGTGGAGCACCACCTGATCGGCTTCAGGGGCTGGTGTCTTGGAGCTATTTTTGGGGTCGAGAACGGCATGATACAATATGGTCATGGGAGATATTGTTAAGATGCATCCATGTCATGATAGAAAAAAATTGAAGATCTTGTTTTGCTTCAGTCGAAGTCTAAGTCAACTTCAGCTCCCATCCCCAATTGCCAATGCTCCACACGACACCACCAGGTGGCACTGAATGCCGCGTTGCTTCGCCTGGCCTTTCACTCCCAGGAAGGGCCCGAATCCCACCGACCACTGCTTCGTGGTGTCAAGAAAGAGCGCAGCTAAGCCTTAAGTCATCCAAGTCGGCAGGCAGCACTTTGTAGAGTCCACCGATTCGTTCCTCCAATGATGTTTGTCAAACTGTTGCTGGAGCATGTTTGTAGAACAATTCCCTCTTTGGGCTCAGAGAGAGCTGCGATATTTGGGGTTTACATCGTTGCATTCCAAGGAGCCCCCTTGAGCTTTGGGCAGATATTGATGTGGTGCAGGTTTGGGATATGCTGAGGGCTGCAGGCTAGGTGCACCCAGCTTTAACCTTCAAAGCTGCACCAGAGTTCGGGGTTCATTCAGGTCATGTGTATTTCGCAGGGTGGAGTTAACAGCACCAAAAGGGTATAGTGATGTATACATCAAAGCAACGTTGGAGTACTTTGGAAACATCAACTTAGAGTGTAGAGCATTGGGGAGTCGCTACGCAGAGCCAGGGCAGGAACTTGCACCACCCCGCCAGAATCTAGTCAAACTTCTTGATTCTTGGAACTTTTTGGGCGGGTACAGACACCCATGCACCAGAACCCAAGTCATAGCCACTCTTCGAACAGTGCCGATTTCTGAACCTTTGATTCAACGCATAGCCTCCTCATGCTATTCTCGCGCGAAAACAGGCCGCTCTCGCGGTGGCAGTCTTGCTGGAGGCCACGCTGGCAATACCACGCCTTGGCGGCAGTTTGGGCAAGCAGCTGGAGACCACTTGTGAGGATGGGATGCAACTGCGGATGGGGGACGGGTGGCGCCAGACAGGGGAAGGGAAAGGGTTTGACAATGTCGACCTTGGCTGGGGTGCCCTGGCACTTGAGTTGTGTGACCCAAAACAACAAGCGGATTGTTGTTGGGGGTCGTCCGTTTTTTGGGGTTTCAAAAGCTGCCACTTGTTCGAAGTGCGGGCTATATCCTCCAGTTTCATCCAGAGCATCAGCAATCGATTTGGACTCCTGGAGAACATTCTGGTGATTGCTATGGTGCCACTTACCAGCAGCAACAGAAAAGCTCCAAGTACGCGCTTCTCAAATGCAGAGTAACCTAAATTGCTTGGATTGAACTCCATACCCCTCTTGATCAGCCTTAAGTCAACGTCCGTATGAACCACTGCATGGGAGGCCACGGAACCGCAATCGGAAGTGGATGGCATGGGCCCTTGGACCATGGTCATCCTCTGGGCCACAAGTGGGTTCTAATGAAAACCACATGTGGTTTTCCACTTCGATCATCCCGGCGAGTGTCAAGAAGGACGAAGGAGGCCGAAGCGTCTCGGAGCCTCGTGCTTTTCCAGGATCTCACCTGGAGACCTGCGCTGGCTGCGCTGCTCCAGCGATATCAAGCCAGTGGCCAGCATCGGCAAGGCTGGACCGTTGGGTAGGGATCGCTCAGCCTAGGAGCATGGAGGTTCTTTTTCTTCTTGGGTGCTGTGCTGCTAAATTGGTTTGGGTGTAGGTATTGGATTGTTGGTAATTAGGTAGTGTTGTTTTACATTGGCATCGAAAACAGTTTCAACCCTCAACTAAGATTCAGAAATCAAAGGTTCAACACCTGTGTTCAGAGGCTTCATGTTCCCGTGTTTGCTTCAGAGGCTCGGCCAAAGCCCTGGAGCAAGAATATGCCATGGCATATGCAGCAGGCAAGCTGTTGAACTCTGTGGGCGAAAACTCGTCACAACCAGCAACATCCCCATGTCGTCACAGCCATCTTGGCAGTTCAGCACATCCATATTCCAGCAGAAAACGTCATGCAACTGTTGTTCAACACTTTGGTTTTTCCATCAGTGAGTCGGCTTGTAGAGTGGCTTGTAGCTGATTTGTCATCTTGTTGATATCCTTTTAACCATCTCAAGCCTGCCGGACTTGGACGACTTTGAGTTGCCAGGGAACCTCTTAGAGTTGCATGGGCAACTGCAGCTACCAGTGGTTTCTTTGCTCCCTGTCCTCTCGCTGCTGGTGGAGAAGGCTGTGGAGGCCACGCATGGGAGGGACCGTTTAGAAAGACGAAACTTTGAGGCAAAGCTACACTGTTGCACTTGTGTTTGTTGCCCAGGGTGCAGTAGGAAAAATAAAGTAGATGCCACGCGATGGGTTGGGGCCAACTCATCTTGAGATCAGCCTATCTCTAAAATCCTTCGATCGGAATATGCAGAGAAAGCGCTTGCAGCTGACCAGCAGCAGAATCAGCCGCTTGCGAAGGTGTCCATGTTACCTGGAGCTGGCAGTGGAGATGAGCCCTTTGCTTTGCAGGCAAGACAGCCTGGGTCGCACAGGGAGCGAGGAGCAATGGAAAGATGGTTCTTCCCAACAGCTGGTGGGTGCTACTAGCACTATTAATGCTGTTATTAATTACTTTGGTAACACAGTCAGTTTGGGATAGCTTTGACAAGATTGGCAGACTAGAGGGCTGTGTTCACCGATTCCAGCTTCTTTTTGCAGATGTCCACGTTTCATTGACTGCCCCATGAGGGGGGAGCGTTTTTCGACATACCTGGCCCTGGTATAATGGTCTATTTGGGCGTTTGCAGATTCAAAGCATAGTGACAGTGGAAGAGATTCGAACAAATCCATCCCATCCATCCCGCTTCGAGACACTCAGCACACTCAGCAGCGGGTCTTTCAGCATCCTTCAGCCAGACCCTGCCAGGAGCTGCGGCGTCAATTGAGGCCCCTGGCAGAGCCAGCTGCCATCTCCAAGCTCTTCAGCACCGTGCTGGGCCTGCGCGCCACGCCACAGGTGCAGTGCTTTTAAATAAAGAGTATATATATATATATATTATATATATATGTATCTAAATATCTATATATATATATTTGTGTGTGTGTGTTTTCCTTTTCAGGGGGCATGGAAGAAAAGGGTCCGGGTGGAGCTTAAGAACTTTCCAAGAGGTTTTGTAGTAGTTAAACATGTTTCATTACATATATATATATGTATATATATACATTGTCCTTGTGGTTGGGATCCTTCTGTAGGATTGCTGTGGGAAATGAGAGGAGGACACGAGATTCTCAAAACTACAGCAACCTTCCACGTACATGGTTCCTGACAATTTGCTGGTCCTTCAGTCCTTATTTGTATCATATGCCCAGGCTTCACCTTTTTATGCATTCGGGGGTTGCCATAGGTATAGGTGAAACATGGTGAAACACATCGATTCTCAACATTGGCATCCTTTGCAGGAGAGTCTCGTCGTGATGCCTTTGCGGGGCTACCAGCGACATTGCGCCCTGGCAGCCAGTGAGAAGGGATCGGGCAGAGGACAGGAATGGACAAGGCGAGCATGTGCACGCATGGTTTAGAGCATAGTGCACACGTGTGGTTTTACACCCAAACCCCGAGAGTACCGGCTTCCTTTGATGGTGAGGATTCTTCATGGGGTCCAAATTGTCTTCCACTCCCGGAGGCTAAATTGGACCTGATGACCAGATTCATATTCATACTCCCAGCACTCGCACTCAGGTATCGCCGTGGCAAGGCATGAAGTCAACCCAGAGGAGTGGCCCGGAGAGCACACCTGCTCGGTGACTAAAGCAATCTTGACAATCCGTTTTCCTTTTGGAGGTTGTGATGATTGTTGCTTCTCACTACGGGGTCATATTCAAACATCAACCGTAGATTTTGAGCAGTTGTTGTACCGTTTATACGACGTCCTCCTTGAAATTGAGCATGCCTGAAACTGTTCCTATACTTGATACATAGGTAAAAAATATATTACATGTTATTTTATTCCCAATTCCCATATTTTGATAATTTTCGGATTGTGCCAAGATGTTTCAAGCGGAGTATCTCAACATGCTGGGGCTGTGTGCCCAATGGCTGAGCTAAAAGCCCTTCAGAACCCCTTGGTTCGATCCACAAGCATTGCCGCATTGCCCCACCCATGCAGCAATGCAGGCGGTGGGCTATATAGCGCAGCTCTACAGCGTTTTGTTGGTGAAAGCCCGTGCAGCTGCCAAGGCTGGTGCAAACCACCAGGCAACTGGGGGGCTGGAGTGACAAGCTGAGAGGGCCTGGAAAGGTTGGACGCCGCACAACTCATGGACAAGCACAGGGGGTGTACCAAGGGACATGCCCACATGAATGGTGATGAAGGGCAGTGGTTGGGTGCTTGTGATCAGCACTTCCATGAAATGCGCCAGGTGTTTCAGAGCATCGCCAACACAATTGCCTACATGGAGGGTGGAGATGTGTCCAAAGCGCATCTTGGCTTGAAACCATGGGGTTTTTGGTCGCGACAGATCGCATTTGGCAGTGTGGTCAAGTGCGGTATTTGTACTGACTTCCATACTCAAAAAACAACAAGACAGAGACATCAAGAGACTGAAACGAAGCCTGAAATTGTAACAATCATTGTCGATTGCAAGTTGATGCCTTTGCTTCTGGAAGCAGATGTCACGAATGGGATTCCACCGTGGAGTTGATTATGCACCCAGGGACTTCCTTCTGTTATTCCCGCCAGCAGCCATGCTTGAGTAAATTTCTCTTTGGGAACGGTGCCGGCAGGCTATGGAGACACATCGAGAGCATGGTGCCCTTCGATGGCAAGAGCAGCTCTCAAATGGAGGCCATGAAGGTGCGGCGACATGTCATGCAGAAAGATGAGGTTTTGCATCAGAATGGTACAGTAGGTGAGCATGCCTGACCAGATGCATAGTCACATCGTATGACATGTTTGTCTTTTTAATTTTCTGTGCACTCTTTGTCTACCACATCATGTTTCAAGAGGTGCCTGAAGACTTCAGCTCGTTTTTCAGCCCAGCTGTTTTTCAGCTCGTTTTTCCATGCCTCCCAGGTGGAGCATTTCCACCTCATCCACCTCCATGCAGTTCTCCTCTCCCAGAGTTTGGGAGTCATGACCAGTGACGAGCTGAAAGGCTCGGACGCTCCTCTTTGCAAGCACGCAACTCGGCCTGAAAAAGAAATTCAGTGGTGGGTCAGTGGTGGCTATGGCCAGAAGAGAATGCACTCAAAGATGCTCAACGCATCACACAGTGCAGCAAACTGTTGGGATGGTTGTTTGAGCAAACTGGCGATGAGTGGAATCAGGGAAGGCGTAAATGAAGCTTGAGGACTCAGGGAAGAGCATGTTGATTGTACCAAATCTGCCAAGCCAACATCGAAGCTGACAAAATCCTGAAATTTATTAACATGTTCTAAAAGCCTTTAGCCAGGAGCGATTAAGATCTTAGATCCATGTTGCTCCAACCGACGACGCTTTCTGAGGACCTGGCTCCTTACGTCGCGAAGGCGCCTTTGTTTTTCACCACGGTGGTGGACAGATTTGGTGGGAGAGGTTTGGAGGGAATAAAGCAAATGGAAGACCTTCCAAGAAAACCGGATTTGAGCGAACTCTAGAGCCAAGAGACCGAGAGGGCTGAAATGCCAGATCTGAACATGGGGACCCTGGAAGCCAAGGGACAATGTAATGTTAGTCTACAAATCTACAGTAGATCTTTTGGCATTCTCTTTGCCAGAGCCAGATCAGGCCTCCCTATGTGTTTTTTGGAGCCCATCAGTCAGTGAGCCTGCGTTCAAATACCGCCCCTATAGGGCTGGGGAGGCTTTGGGCCAATCTTTGCACCAAGCCCTGAATTTGACGTGCTTTGCTTTTTGTCCTGTAGTATACAATATGGATCCTTCATGATTCATGGTCCTTCTCCAGCATGAGTCAGACGAATTAAGTCCTCTTCTCCAAGTGGGATGACGGCATGGTTCCTTTTGGACTGACCGTCCGCTTCACCGGTAGGTGACGGCTTTGACCTCATGGATCGCCTGGAGCCCGGCAAGCCCCGCATCCTTGCAGATCAGAGCCTTGAAGCAAGGTGAAGCGGCTGGACGTCATGACATACATCATATCATATATGGGCGGAAGTATGCGGATCAAACACACAGACATATATATATATATATTATATATATGTGGTACACGACCCCCGCCCAAAGATTCCAATTTTTCGATGTGTTGGTAACACTCTTCAAAGCCAGGACTTTGTTTGTTTGACGGGGTGCCATATACATTGTATAGCATGTGCATACACACAAATTTTGTGCCGCACTGACACAGAAATACTTAGGCATTTGGTGACAGATTCCCATTGCAATGCATTGCAATAGGCAATGGGATTCAAGAGTCAATCAAGATTTCAGAAAGTAATTCTGGATTCCCGAGTCCTGGCATTCAAGAATTCTTCTCTGAAATGTTGAATCTCGAATCCTGGGATTCACGAATTCTTCTTTGTAATCTTGAATCTCGAATGCCGGCAAGGGGCTGTACGTTTCAAGAAAGGGCCCGTTGCAACCCAGTGCAGCTGTTCTGCTCTAAATGTTCCTTGGTAGTCCTTCAGCCCTTTGGTCTTCGCTGCCGAGAAATGGCTGAAGAACAGGAAGGTGATCCTTCGCGTGTGTCACCCGGACAGTGCACTTAGAAGTCCAAAGTGCAAGACGTTCTACACGACAGTCTGGTTCACCGGAAGAAACGTATCAAAGTTTGAGGCAAATTCATCTGGCAATCGCCTAACTTTGTCAAGCTTTCCACCCACAAACTTCCATGTGAACAAGGCAGGAACGCAGATCATTGATCAGGCCCGAAGGTTCATCAAGGATCGCCTGCGTCAATTTACCAAGGTGGGTAGCCCTTTGCTTCGTGCCCATATCCGGCCTGCCCATTATGAGTACTTGAATCGCAGCCAGGATCTCTCGGCCTGCACTGGCAGCTTTTGCCTTCGTACATGCAGGACTGTTGTGTAGGTGCTACAATCTGCCATAGCTTGGGGACTACTTGGTCCTGTTTCTGAACACGTTTGCAGAAGCAGTCTGCATGTGCAACGTTCAACAAACTCTTAAAACTGAAGTCCTTGATCTATCCTTCCAAAAATTGATCGCATCTCAGCAATCAACAAGAACAATACATCTTTGGAGTTGGCATGCAGCATGAATATCTGATTATCTATTTGTAATATTGAGTTAGACATGCATGCAGGAGGCAAAAATGGTAGATCCTTGGGGGATAGCATATGCATATATATGCTTATACTGTATAATTGCATGATCAAATATATTGTCTCTGTGTGTTTTATGGATATAAATTAGGGATCAATCATGGTAGTTATATAGATGTTTGCGTTGGAACGTAAATGGGCCGGACCCACCTGGTTGGTTTCTTTGTTGGAAAGTCCATGGGTTGAACGTTGGATCTGTGTCAGCTATGCTTGGCTCATCTCGGCTGTGAGGCACTCGCAGTGGGTTGTGTGACAAAGTTGCATAACTTGACTCGCAAGTCGCCAAGTGGTGTTTGATTAAATAGCCTGTGCAGAACGAACTTCAGGTATTTCAGCCACAGTTTAGCAGGTCACGCTTTCGCAGACCACTTGTTAGATTGTTTGAAGAGTGTGCAACCCCCAAACCAATATAACACCTGAACGTGTTCCTTGGAAGACTCGAAACCACTGGTTCAGTTGATTGTTTGGGGCATTTGGTGACTGTGAAACTCCAAGGAGAAGAATTGCTCCAAGTAGCTGGTCGTGTCCTTGCTCAGCTGCACCTTGCAAAGAGGGAGTTGAATCAGAGGGACGGTGCGCCGCACAAGCAACGGCGGAGACCTGTCCCCCACCGTTCCTGGGTTTTCTTGGGCACCACCTCCCCAAACAAATATGTTTAGAACCTTAAAAGTGACCAATGCCGATGGCCCTCTCTACAACAATGTCTTTTTTGGGGGCCTGTGCATGAACCTAGAGGATGCAATCAAACCAAAACCCACACGTGATGTGTTTGAGCACGCATTTTGCAACCCTTGGATGGTTTGCTCCAGTGGCTATCCCTGCGAAACATTGATGCTTGGGTTCGGCTGGATGCCTAGGTATCGCATTTGCGACCGCACCTGGGTCCCTGTGCACGACTGGCATGCTCCAGAGCAAGTGTTGGAAGGCTTCAAGGCTGCGATGCAGGCGCAGCTGCCTGGATGTGAAACGTGTTGCTTCATTGGATGTCATCGAACTGCAGCTGTGATGACTGAATTGCATACCGTACAATTATATGTGGTCGTCTAGCTCGTCCTGTTTGTCTAGTCCCCACTTCACATTGAATCACCCACCCCCTTTCTATTCTGACATGCCATTCGTCCATTTGCAGGAGGTCGCGCGGGCGGGCGTGGACCGCCTCTTGAGACACCTGCCACAAGTCCCTTGGGCTGATGAGCGCTACCGGGTGAGACTGGACCAGCTCACGTTTGGCACACAGATTTGCGTATTGATTTGCCATGATTTGCCACCTAGAACTTAGAACTCTGTGGACAGTGGCAACTGAAAGTATGACACCGCAGTGCTTTTGCCTGCTTTTGCCCTCACACAGCTCCCTATTGCACTTCTGAACTTCTGAGTGGATTCCCAAAACATTCTATTCTTCCCACTCTTTTGGGGCGGCGACTGGACCCACTCTTTAAGGATAGAACGAAGGACATCAATTCACGGACCTCATGGATTTCCACCTTGACAAATACAGGGGAGCAAGGAGACTGGACGTTTGACTTTGTTGTGAGAGATCTATATGTGGCAGTGCCTGGTGGCTTTCGAAAAACCCATAGCAGCAGCAGTTGCAGTTTGCCTCGACCACCGAGGCAATTCCCTTCGAGCAACGAGTGGCCCTCCTCCGTGCACGTGTTCAGCACGCTCGAGAGGCGTGATAGGGGTTGGGCTACAGCGATGACGTACTGCTGCACTCTGACGCAGCAGACTGGGTGGAGTATTTGTGCAGCGTATGGAGTATGTAAAATCTCTCAGGTTGCGTTTGGGTGGTGCTGTTGGGATTTCTTGGGTGGAGCATGTTGAGCATTTGGCCGTGTCATGGAGGCTCAAGGCTTCTCAAGTCTCGAGTGCAGCACTTCGCTTGTCCAGATGGCCTTGCCGAAGGATCAGAGGTGCTTGAAGGAGAGTGATGGCATGAAGGTTCAAGTGCTTCGTGGTACAGATGGCAAGGCAAGGCTTTGATATGCTTTGATATGCTTTGACTTAAGAAGACAGGTTGTACTTGACATGAGATCGGTTGGAGGTGAAAGGTAGGTTGTAAAAACGATATGTATACGTCCTATACGTCCAATATGCAGGCTCAAGGTGGACTTAAAGCAGTTGCTCACGCTGTCCAGGTGATTTTCTTGGAAGGTGGCTCAGACTTTGTCGAGATGATGTTCAAGCTCATGCAGTCTCCTCTCTCGAGCCTTCTTGGAGTATGTCCGATGAATCAGGAAAGTGCTCTTTCTCCTCTCGTGGTCCTACGGAAGTCCTTGTCCGAATTGGCTTTGCAGTCCTTTGCCAAGGGAAGACTTCCAGACGAAACATTGCCTGGGCCGATCGAAACCTCTGAGATCATGAAGATGAAACCTTTTGGAACGGATGGATTCACAGACTTCAAGAAGCGACGCCGCTCCCGCTCATGGCGCTCAGGCTCAAGCTCAAGCTCACGACCACGCTCAAAGCATCGTTCGCGCTCACGTTCGCTCAGGAGGAGGGAGCACTCTGAGGGCATTTTGAAAGACAACTGCAAGTTCATGGTCACAGACTCCCTGGAGGTCTTCGAATCTTCCACAGTCAAGGCCATGGAGCTTATGCAAGGCAAGGTGCGTGGCTTCGGTGATATCAAGACTTCAAGTGCAACAGTGAGCAAGGAGTGTGTCCAGAACTTGATTCAACAAAGTTTGCGTGGATCAAGAACGGTGCTCAGTCAAGTGCTTCTGGCTCATGGCTGCTCTGCCACTGCCAAGTGAGAAAAATCGATGTCGGTGACAGTACAGCACATCAGATACGAGATCACTGCTGCAATTGAAGTTCAAAGCTCTGAGCGGCACAAAGCAACAGCCTTTGCGACCCGCCATGCGCTTAATCACAGTGCGAACAGATACAGAACAAGCTGAAACATGCTGAAACTATGCAAAGCTTCGAGCCGTTCGATCTAAGGCATCATAAGCATAATGATCTATTTATGTCACGGGCGGGTGGTCAAATCAGCGCCAAGTGGTGACCATTTGTAGTTGGGCACCAGTTCCATCTCCTGTGACTGGTTACAGCGCGACATGTGTTTGGTGTCCTGCAGAAATTCCATGGTTTTCAACACGCTGTTCGGTGCCTGGCTGGTTGTCCAAAGTGAGAAGGCCATGCCGCGGCCTGGGGTTCGATTTGTTTGTTGATCAAGCAGTTCTTGCAGGTGGGTTCATTCTAGCATATCCAAACTTTGTCGCAAGGATGCAGACGCAGCCAGCAACTCCGTGTGAATCCAGCAGCATGCTCCAGCATCCGTTTTGGGGCAGCACCTACAGTTCCATCACACCCTCACCTGACCAGCTGCACAGGGTGACATCCATTATGGTGTCACAGGGGCCAACCAGGCTTCTCTAGCCAACCCCGAACTATGTAACTATGCATTCAACCCACGACTTAACCACCGCCACCATGAGTTCGGACATGTCAGAACTTTAAGTTTTCTTGGGTGGGGTGTTCAGCTGGGTGTTGTGCCCTACCCCATGCACCCACCGAATACATCTCCGCCATGTCCTCGCCCACCGCGGCCGTGGCCGTGGTCGGCGGCGGCCTGGCTGGCCTGGTGGCCGCCGAGGCGGTCGCCACGGCGCTGGGCGACGGGGAACGGACCAGCGTGGTGGTCTTCGACCTTGGGGCGCGGGGCCTGGGAGGACGCTGCGGACATCGCGAGGATGTGAGCCTTGAGAAAGTCCAGGACTCTTTCAAAGTTTCTCTGAACAGGACAGGGAGGAAAGCAGACACGAAGAAAAGATATCCAAGACTGGAGGGGCATCCAGGAATCCATATTGATCCGGGTCCATGCTGTTTGGGTCGCATGGTTCATTGTAGGTTTGCCTGTGTTTGCGGTGTGTTTTTTTTCACCATCGCTGTTTGTGTGACCTGTGCGCTTCTGAGGACTCGTGAGCTTCGCCGCTTTGACCATGGCGCGCAGTTCTTGAGCTGCGGTGCCAGGGACGATGTCCGATGGAGCAAGCTGGTGGCGTCATGGAACCGAGATGCTGGGCCAAAGGGTTGTGCCACCAAACGGACTTATCACGTAGAAACGAAGCACCCCAAACCGATGATGTGTCAACCTAGCGTAGAACCTCTTGTAGGATGACGTTTTACAATTTTAATCAATTTTACAATCCCAGTTGATTGATTTTAATAGATCAAGAGGCTATATACATTATAGATTATTATAGATCGATCGGACTGGAAGTTGGGTTGGGGTGGGTTGAATTAAATAATCCAATTGAATCCATCCGAATCACAGCTAATCACCGACAATCCTTTGATCCATGTGATCCATGTGATTCGGTGGAACCCAACACCCAAGCAAAGGCAGCAAGTCCATGGATACATGTGGCCTAGAGCAGAAGCATGTTTACATGTCTTATTGATGTTCATTTTTCTGTGTCCGAGGAGGGCTTCCTCGAACGCTGGAACCCACGCATTGTGGAAATAAGCGCGGCTGGGAAACCTTCAGAGCTCGATCGATCGGCTCCATCCTTCTTCGATGTTGCCTCAGCTGATGAGCTCTATGTAAGCCCTGGCGGAATGCGGAACCTCTCTGAGGGCTTGGACACTTGACGCCTTCGGTTTCGTTTCCCTTCCTTCACGTCGACCGTGGGACGTGCGATCGCGTGCGATGTGTGACGTGTGACGTGCGGTTGGACTCTGGGAGGAGTCCTTCACCCTAGGATTGCAACCACTATCCGTTTCATGGTTTTACCCTTTTTGCCCATGCAACCACTGTTGTACGAAGGAGTTTCCACTACAAAACCAGCTCAACCATGCTCAACCTTTCCTTTGATAGTCTTGGAAGGCTAGGGTTGGTTCCCCTGTTCCAGCTACACTAAACAATTATATATATATAAATTAAACGACTGGACTGGAACATAGGAATTTAATGAAATTTACCATGCAGTTGCAACTTTTAAAGATACGCGTTTCGATTTTGCTGTTAAACAGCAACACTATCACTAAAGACAACAATATGATCATTTCATGTTCTAAGACATGGGAACGCGCACTGGCACAACTGCCCCTATGTGAGCATGTGAGGAAAATGTCCCGAATCTGGGGAGTTAGAACCAAACAAAGTGTTTTTCAGGGTTTTGTTAGTTTTTGGCACTTTTAATGTTTTGGGGGGTTCTTAGCCTGCAGTGCAGCTGGAAAGAAGGGTTCAAGGCTAGGGTTCCTTTGCCGTGCCTCTTAGATAGTCATTGGATATCATTGTTCAAACAGCATCAAACAAATGCAGTGCAAACAGTGAAAACGCACCCTCCCTGCAACAAACATGAAAGTGGGACCCCCCTGTTGGATCATGTTCGGCGCCACACCTGCGTTTGTAATTAGACGAATTCGCGTGCGAGGCGTCGCGCGAGTTGAATCGCTCCAGACGCAACAGAAAGAAAGAAAGAAAGAAAGAAAGAAAAAGTCCAAGGCGCGCAGGGGTCATTTCCAAGTGGTGCGTGGCTGCCGGGTACGACGTGTTCACCATGAAGGTGCACTGTGGACCCTACACGGCAATTCGGGCAATGAGGCGAGCTGTTCGGACGAAAGCACAAGCGCTTTTGGACGCACCAGCATGTGGGAGACACATGAACATGACTCACACAGAAATACTCACAGAACCAAACGGTTTGTAACAACTCTGGGGAAGGCATGCCGCCAGATGTGGACTCCAGACTGGAGTCAGACTTGTGCAATGTGGTGGTTGTTTGTCTTGGGGAAGGGGCCGCTCCGCCGGAACCTGAAAGGGAACACATATCTCAACCGTCTCAACCCATTACTCAGAGGAAAGGCTCAAGTTAGTCATGTATCAGTTGCGGATTCTCATCTTGCAGCCCCCTCACATACCTGGTTTTCACGTTGAACGCCCTCGAGGCACACCATGAGGCTGCAGAAAAGGATGCCCGAGACGCTGAGGAGCGGTTGGATGGCACGAAATTTCACGATCGGATAGAAGAAAGGTAAATCATTGTACTGTAAATCCTGGATCCCTTTGAATTTATAACACATATATGAGCCACATATATGTTGTTCCTGACTACCTGGGGATGCTAAAACCACAGTGAACGTATTTTGCTTCGGGACCGTGCGGTCGGGACCGTGCGGTCAAAGGGGAAGTAATATGAAGTGACGGGTGACCGGCCAGTGGCAAGTGAAGATTCGATGTTTAGTGTAAACCATTCAGGGCAGGCAGCAAACCATGACATACCGTGACAGTGTTTCACCCTCATAGCTTTTTCTTAATAGTGGGCTCTATATGTTTGCAAACCATGACAACTTCTAGTTGTTCTTTTCAAGAGATGCCCGCCATTTTTGCTCATCAGCGGGTAGGGCGGCGGAGCCCTCTGCGATCGTCCTCGGTCATCCTTGCCCTGCTGTTCAGCTTCACATAACTGAATTTAAAAGTCCTTCTAGTCCGGTTTGCTTCCCCCAAAAGACAAGAACCTTCTTAAAAAGATGAGAGTGTTGCCTCCCCACATCATGAAAACAGTCCGAACCTTCACTGATTACATGTCAACGTTCCAACTTCAACATATACTTCAACGATTCCCGCCCCCATCCCATTTCTCATCCCATGTGCCCACCATTTGCCACAGGAGTGCCTGCTTGGACGCTTCCGTGCATTGATCCTCACCGATGTGATGCTTTCCTTTCCGCCCTGGCACCGCTGTGCGCTACTAGGCCTGGACACCATCGCCCCTGAGCTCGTCCAGGCGGCCGTCGTCCGGCGACCGGCGGTGGTGTGTCAAGTCTTCGTGACCGTGTGCAGAAGGGTCAACGAAAAGGAAAACCTTGGTAGACCCTCTCCAAACCCATCGGATTTGCATGGATTTGCCTTTGGTCGCTCACATCCTGCATGCAGATTATGATCAAACAAACGCAGCTTTCGCCCAGGTCCTCCGGGAAGTCCGCATGGCTCCGCTCTTCTCGCTGATGGTCTCTTTTCCACATGGCAGCACGGAGGGGTGGCCAGATGCAGCGGTGATCCGGGACGAGACGCTTCAATGGGCATGCCGGATGGCATCCAAGCCCGGAGAGGCGCTCAAGGAGGACTGCTGGGTTTGCGTCGGAACAGACCTTGAGTTCAACAGATTTTTCTTTGTAAGTTTGTGCCGCCAGAAAAAAACATTTAAGCATCCTAGCACTTCCGACTTGCCTCACTTTGTTGGCCTCCTGTGAGCCACCGCGTGTGCCGTTGTTTCATGGCCTATAGGTCAGCACCCGGGACTTTGCAGAGGCTTGCTTGCTAGAGGTGCCTATGGCCAGCGAGGCGCCGGAGGGGCAAGGGAGCGAAGGGAAGAGCTACATGCCGCAGCAGGAAGAGTAGCTCGCTTTGAGGACTGATGTTGATGAAATGCCAACCCCGCCAAAAAGCATAGCAGCCCACTTCTAGGCAAAAGGCTGTTTTCTGGACCTTCACCACAAATCCCGAGGTATCTCAGGGCAGATCCTGCGGATGCTATGTTGGCTGCCTTCCAAAGGCTTTTTCAGGCCGAGCTGAAGCCGATCAGCAAACAGCACCTTGTTCTCTCAAGAGCTGCTTGCTTTGACAGACTGAAACGGGGAGGCATTGGAGGCCTTTCCTTTGGATTTTGTATGCAATTAAATCCATTCAGCCAAATTCTTGAATCTATGTTGCAACTGGCCTTGTTCACATCTATTCAGTCAACTAAACATGATCCATTTCCCATCCTCAGGTGCCAACGCTGGGGCGCCGCCTATGTCGAAAGAAGTGCGAAGCCCTCGCACTTCACGCGTGATGGGCCCTGCCTCGTGGACGCCTCGTTGGCGCTCGGTGTTTGTGGTGACTTCCTGTCACCGGAAGGACCACGAGGAGGCGCCTCCTCGTGGCTTGGAGTTAAAGAAATAGAACCGGATGAGGGAGGGACGGATGAAGGCATTCTGGATATCATGGATTGCTCTGAATAAATATTTGATGATATTTGAGGTGCACAGAGTAATTGAATTAGTTTTGTTGTATTGTATTGTTTGAATGCAGGATGATGTGGGCATCCCAGGGCTGAACAGGTTTTGAAGTTGACCAAATGATCTAGCTCCTGATTTGCAGGGAGTTTCATTGCATTTCTCTACTCTCACTCAATGCCGCTCCAGCTTTCTATACACCTACGGTCACCTACCCCAAAAGTAGACAAAGCGATCGGCGATCAACGTGAGACTCACTGCGGGTCTTCAGATGCTAGTCATGAGTCATCCACCATCATCCACCCATTGCCTCCCCCACTCATTTGCGTGGGTTTGGGACAGTTTGGCCCTTTCCTCTTCCATCCAAGGATCTACTGCTCGGCTTTGTCCGCTTTGGCGGTGGCCGAAGCGATCTCCACGCTTGTGCTTCTGACCTGACCGGCCTCAGAAGAACCACCGGGTGACCGGCGAAAGCGGCGCAAAGTGGCGCATGGCGCATCGCCGCAGCAAACGCCGCAGGTAAAAATATATACATAGAAAAAGCCACGCAGCGAACGCAGGGACAATGGAGTGATTTGTTTGTTTTGGTAGTTTTGGGGCTTGTCCTCAGCCCCACACGCACATCCTCAGGCCTTACTCGTCATTTCGAAAGAAGTGATTCGAGTAGCTGAGACTGTCGAGGCCACAGATTTTTCGACACTGTGAGCTGCCAAGTCAACACCAAGGAGGCAAACCATTGAGGAAGGTCTCATTTCTAGTACTACCCCCGGGTGGTGACCTTAGTATCATCGTGCCCCTGCAGCGCTTACTGACTGTTTTGCTTTAGGTACTGGGCCCCAAGGAGTCCTACATGTGGGCGGTTGGACTCGGCAAAAACCGCCCAAAAAAAGCCCGCCGTCCAACGTCCGGCCCCCCGTTCGGTCGAGTCGATGGTAGAAGCAACACCACGTCGGTGGCGCCGAGTGGCCTCTTGGGAGGCTGGCCTCTCGAGACCTCTGGTGAAGTTGACGGTGCGGCGCACACATTTGTTCGAAGATGGCTTGATGTCCCTCATGGCGAAGGACCGGACATGAAATGGATGTCTTTTTTGATGTGTTGCATCGCTACTCGGGGCTCCTGGCATCGCTACGAACGGAGCATTCTTACTACTAGTAACAAGAAGCTACGATCGGGGCTTCTGGGCTTCTTATAGTGTGTTGTTTTACTAGTTTCTGTTTTGTGTGTGCCCGAGGGAGGAACAGTGCAATTTGTGGCAGCAGCATCAGGGGGGTTTGGTGTCTTCATTTGCTATGTTGGGTCTCTTCCCATGTTGCCTTCCCATGTTGTGTTCTGATTTGCGCTCTTTGTGTGCGATTTGTTGGCTTGTGATGGCTTGTGGTTTTGGTTGTAAGTATTAGTTTTAAGACTGGCTAAACCAGCCTGAGACCAGTTTTTGGGGTTGATTTTTTTTACAGTTTTGTTATGGTTTTGATATGGTTGGAGGTTATGATTTTGATATGGTGTGAAAATGTGGTTGTGGTTTTGGTAATGATTTTGTTATGATTGAGAAAGGTTCCCTTGTGGGGGGAGGAGCGCTCGGGTGGCTGGACCATAAGAAATCCATAAGAAAAGTGTAACGCTTATGGCTTTGTTATGATTTTGATATGGTTGGAGGTTATGATTTGATATGGTGTGAAAATGTGGTTGTGGTTTTGGTTATGATTTTGTTATGATTGAGAAAGGTTCCCTTGTGGTGGAGGAGCGCTCGGGTGGCTGGACCATAAGAAATCCATAAGAAAAGTGTAACGCTTATGGTTTTGTTATGATTTTGATGTGGTTTTGGTATGGCTTGCCTTTTCCGCGGGCTGGAGGCAGTTCCAAAGTGGTGAGAGGCCCTGGAAAGGCTATCAAAAGGCTTTTGAGTGGGCCAGGGGCTTGGAAGAAAGGTTCCCTTGTGGGGGGAGGAGGGCTCGGGTGGCTGGACCATAAGAAATCCATAAGAACATCATATGCAAACCAATATCAAACCCATATCAACAAATCATATCAAAACCATAACAAAATCATGAGCAGAAAACCACTAACTTGAGAAGCCATAACAAAACCATAACAGCAAATCATATCAAAACCATAACCAAACCCCCAACAAAAATATTTTACGTACATGCTTCTGTCGCACCTTGGCCAGTCTTAATATTAGTTATATAGTTATTTGGTTAGTTGTTTTTGCTTGTTCATTTGGCCATTTCTGTTACTGTTGCTCTTTGCACTTGCTGTGTTTTTTCATTACTCTTCATTCTTGTCATTTGTATTGATTTGTTTTAAATGATTGTTTGTTGTTTTGCAGCTTGGCCCTTTTCTGAAGTTACTATTCTTGGATTTGCATTTGACTTTGATTTGTTCTATTGATTTTTTGGTGTGTATGTGTTTATTTTTAATGTTGATTTGTATTTGTGTTTGTGCTTGTTCACTTGGATTGTGTTTTTTTATTTTTCGGGGTGGCGGTTATATTATATGTTGTTTCAAGAACTTTCAGAGTTAGCCTGGGTTCGGAGAGCATTATCGTAGGTAAAGGCACTGCTCTGTACATGGCATTTGCAGATTTGCTTCGATTTCGCCATTGAAGCAACTATGTCGTGCATCCCAGGATGCAGACTGGCGTGCACGCTTCCAAGTGGTCTTCGTGAACTCGACTGGGCGACCAGTGCTCTGGTGTGGCAAAGCGGTGGTATTTGTAGGTTCCCCTTCTCCCCCCCGGGAATCAAAGATCCCAACCATACCACCTCACTCATGAACATGACATTTTGCGCAACATTGTGCAAAAAAATGCAAGCTAGAAAAGAACGAGAGAATGGTCCACGGAGAAACTACGAGGACGATTGTATGTTTGCTTGAGTGGATGTGCCGTGAACATCTTTAGTACGGCATGTGTGAGAGATGGTGCCTCAGGAACAAGGTCAAGATGCAGGCGGCCTTTTCAAGGAGTTTTGGGAAAAGTTCCTCGAGCTGAGCCGAAGGTTTGGGTCAAGATGCTTTTCGTGGAGGGTAGATGGCTCATGACATCTCATAATGACTCACGCGGAGCCTGTTGTGCTTCATTGAAGGGGTCCATGTAACTGCTGGGCATTCAAGCTGGTGTCCTTGGGAAGAAGTTTGCTAAATTATTTTGGAGCACGGGGGTTAGCAGGAACGTGCCCGGTGCCCGGAGCCGGTTTCTTTTTGGGTCGCGCGTCGTCGGATCAGTCTTCTGCGTGTTTGATCGGCCAAGGTTGGCAGAGACGGCTTTCAATCCCGAGTACGGCCTCTTCCGAGTCACCGAAGAACGCTTGCTCTTTCCAAACCCTGAGGCTTGGAAATATCACGAGACTCAGCTAGACTAAGGTCCTTCTCGCTGACAGTGACAAGATAAAACTTGAGTAACATGAGTCCTTGATGGCCCCCGCAGGTTCAAGACATTCGATGGAAATCTTTGTGCCTGCTCCAAGACTACCTAGGAGAATGCGGAAACGCTCTTGGAATTTCTGGGGCTGGTCATTGGGAAAGCTATTTTTGAAGGAATTGCTCCTCGGCCAGAATAGCTTCTCAACATTTCTCAACCAGGCCATGACTGGTCACAGCTGCACAGGACAAGAGGCAAAAGTCCTTTGATTCTCAATTGTTTTCCATGTTGTGGGCGTGACGACAGCCAGAATGTCCGGAACCCCGTGATGCTTTCGTTACCTTGCTTGAAACGCTTGCCACCCGAGTGCGTGATTCCGTTCTGAACGAGGTGGTGGAGCCCTGCTTCGCACCCTTCTTCTTGGCGAAGCTGTTGGGCAAACACAACTCGTATTACGATCTCCAGTCTTTGGATCCAGTCACTCAGTTGACATTTCTGAGTGTTGTCTCCATTCTTCACCCTGTTTGGGCATTGGCTGCGATTTGGAAGATGTCTATAGGTGTGCGTCATGTGCCCCCCAAGGCTTTATTTGCCAACTTGCAGCAGCTGAAGACCTACAGCCAGGGCCATAGTGGTACAGCCAGGGCCAAAAGATACCAAAAGGGTGAGTGGCCCATGCCCTTTGTCTTGTGGGCCAAAATTGAATAGATTGGTAGCAGAGGGCAGCATGATATTTACAATGTGTTTTAGACATAACTATACTGACACATTGCGGTTCCAACCACGATTGATTTCAAGGCTCTTACGGTACCAAGCAACCCTTGTTTTACGAAGGATGTTCGACGACGAAGACTAGGTCAACCGAACTCTTTGAATGCTCAAGTAGGGCGGCTAGGCCGCACATTCAATCTTCCCTCTCACTTTCCTCTTTCCTGTAGATTTAGACACACTGATCATCCCTTGAACCGAGGGAGACTGGCCAACTCAGTGGAGGGTTGAGGGTGCTGAGCATTTGTTCTGAGTCGCCGCAGTGCCAAGGTGGCGACGTGTCAGAGCTTTGTTTGAACTTTGTCGCCACGGATGGCGAAGGCAAGGAGGTGCCCTTGCTACCCAATGGTCAAGAGATGCCAGTGACCGTGGAGAACCGAGTGCGATACATCTACCTGCTCCTTGCATTTCCGTCGATTTCGTCTGGGCCCATGGGCAAGGGATGAAAGATAAGGCAGATAAGGGCGTTCGTTAGATATTGTGCAAGGCACCCCATGGTGATGAGAGAATCAATGAATACCCAATGACGTTCACTTTTGGCGTGGCACGGCTTTCTGGCATGTGCTCGCGTTTTCTTCCAAAACCCCTTAGCTTTGCAGCTCGTTTTCTTTGCCGATGCGGTCTTTCGCCAGTGTGGCGGCGATGGTGGGAACGATATTCGGTCAATCATTGGGCCAAGCGAGGTTGGCTGAAACAAGCTGAAACCATGGATTGTCAGGCACCATCTACACCCAAGGAAACCCTGAGCAAAGAAACCATTGTTATGACATGTTAAGACTTGTCGGCTATATTTTAAATTTTTGTAACTTGTGTTTGGTGATGTGCCCAGCCTCCATTGCGGCAACATGATGTTCGCACCGTTGTTTCTTTCTGGGAGTGTCCATGCTCATCAGCCTGAGCATGGTGGTGCGATGAACCCAGGTTAAGCGATTTCAAGCTCAACAAGGACAGGTGGGCCATGGTGGGCCCCAATTCACATCACGCCAGTCAGGATGGCAGTGGTTCATGTCAGATTTGACGGTACAGAATGATCACGAAAGGTAGCTTTAGCTACCTGAGTTCTCCTTGCTTTAGCAAAAATGTATTACAATCAGGAGTTGGGATTGTGCATTGAGTTTGGTCCTGTAAGAGTTGATTCTGTTCGTCGGGGGGGCCCCCCCCCCTGGATCAAATCCCCCGTGCGCCGGTTCACGCCGTCATGGACTTCTACCAGGGTTACTTGTGATTGCCTGCTACCTTTCGTTCACCCCCTCCTCTCTCAAGTATTCTTTGTGCACAACTGTAGACACTACTGTAGACATATATACCGTATAGATATGTATAATACTATATATATATATATATCGTATTTAATACCTGGATATACGTGGATCTTCGAGGGACAAATAATAACCGGCTGTTCAAAGAAACTGGTTTATGGCAATGAGGACATCCAGCGACGCCTTTGGGAGTTCCAAACAGTGTCTTTCCCCGCCCATGGATTTTGAGCACATTATTTTTTTGGCTACGGTGTTTTTCGCTGAAAAATGCATCTGGGAAAAAGTTGTGCCGTTTGAAGATCTATATAGGTGTATATGATATATGTGTTCCTACTTCTTCTCTGGATCACCATGGGCGCAATTGCGAACAGGGGTCCAACACCGTGGAATTCCGCTTTGTGATTCTGCTTTCCCATCTGCTGTATCCACTTTGGCTTTTCATTCTTGGGCATCCAAATGTTTAGCACTTTGGACGTTGTAACCGCACAGAATCAGAAACTCAACAAAAAACACCGTCTTATGCAGTGCTATTGGCTATCTACTCCGAGCTTGTCGTCGCACCCCGACCGATGCGGTGCTTCATGCGGCCACCAGTGGTGGGTCGACTCATGTCGACTCACAGGAGCTCCACCAGGCATCCGCCGCCTTCCTCGCGGGTTTCCGGAGCCTCATCGATGAGAAGTGGCTCTCCATGCTCAGTGAGCATGAGCTACAGCAGGCGCGAAGCCAACGTGGCGCTTGGCGGGTATGTGTGTGAGATTGTGTGAGTGTGTGTGGTGGAGAGGGATAGTGGAGACAATTTTGAAATCAACGCAGGTCCAACATGGTCCAATCAATTTCTAAGGTGGACATTTTTTGGGGGTGGGAGATGTCCTCAACAGTTCTTGACACCTTGTGGTGTTGTCATGTTTGCGCTCACAAGACGCTACAGAAAGCCTTCGACTGGCAGCTGACGATAGCTGACGGGTCAAAGAAAATCAAGACATCCCACTAGCTGAGGCTCCTTGTCAGGACGTTTTTGGGGCCAGAATGGACTTAGCGGACTTGGTCGAACCTAGAGCAAACCACATGCGAGTAGAAGGCGCCATGTTCCACAACATGTTATGAGTAGACATGTATATAGGCAGATGCAAAAGCATATAAGGCACATTAAGGCACTTCGTCATTCTCAGACCACCTGGGCCGACGGATCTTCGACCTGACCAGGTCATCAGTGGCTCCAGCGGAGGGTCGTTGGATGTGGATGTCACTTGGCGACGTAGTTGGAATCTGCTGGAAATCTCCCTGGGTGCTGTCGCGCTTTTTGGAAAGACATGTGACATGTGGGACTTCAAGCATCGAATTATCCAGATGCGTCCGTCTTTCTTCTTTTCTTCTTTTCTTTGTTTCTTTCTTTCTTTCCTCGAAGCCGTGTTCATCCATTGCGGCCATTGCGCATCTCTTTTTGCCAGTCTCCATCGGGCGTGCTTGCCTGTTGGGGCTCATTTCAATGCGCCACCAATGCGTCACTTGGCAGGACTTGCAGCGTCACACGGAGCTCTCCAACTGCAGCGGTCACCGAGATCGCATGGTGTTGCTTGGCGGGAATCGACCCGCGGCGTTTCAGGGGCCCTGCATGCAGCAGGTCATTGGTGTTCTTCCATTGAGTCAAGGAATGTCAACCTGCAGCCTGCAACCAAGCCATTCAGAGGCGATGGAGCCGAATCATAGGATGGAAGTGATGGACTGAATTGAAGATGTTTAAAGTATTTTTTTTTGGTGCTAGTTGCTTCACCCTGTTTGGCTACCACGCATGCCGGGCAGAACACTCTCCTCCAGCCCCTGAGGACTCAGACTGGTAATTCGACGGGATGGAAGGTTTCACCGTCTCGTTTAGTGCTATGGACAAAACAGCTATTTTTGGGTCTCCTTTTTTCCGTGCTAAAGTTGGAAGTAGCACACCGTGCGCCCATTTTGATGGTCCCAGGAAGGATTTCTTCACAGCCCTGCGTGCCATGAAGCCAGAGCATCAAGTGCCTTGGGGTAAAAATGGCGAATGGATGCCAATGGGAAGTTCTCATGTTTTGGTGCAGCAGGATGGGTTCAACACTCGCAGCAGCTACAGTATGAGTATGTGTCCTAGTGAAGTGAGTTGGGAGTGTGTGGGCCTTCAGCAGCTGCCGTGATTGGCAGAATGTCCTTTGTGGTGAAGAAATAGTCTTTTTTGGAACATATCATTATATATATATATATTATATATATATATGAATAGGAGCTTCCAGAGGTTTGACTGTTTGGTGATCCGGGCAGACGGGTTTGATCTCAAACATCATGATGACCGCGTTGACCTTGACAGCGCGGCAGGGCAGGCAATTGATCTGTTGATATTTGTAGTGTTCATTCTACCATATCAAACCTCAAGATGAGAGAGAATCTTAAACCTCCGTAGTTTCCACGTGGTGCTGAAGTGGTTTCATTCGGATGCCATTTTACCAGGTCTTTGGAGCAACTTCTGAGGCAGAGTTGACCAGCACAAATCCCTTGACATCCGTGGATGTTCCTGTAGGTTGACATGGGTAGGATGGGTGGTTCCTGTTGTCCCATGCTCTCGGTTCAATAAGCAGCTGCTTGGGGTGTCAGTAAGAAGTTCCTCAATGTATATTTGCCGGTGCTACCTCGACTCAGGGCGCAGCCCCCTCGTTCTGCAATGAGCTGATGTTTGACACAGTCACATCAATCTGTATCTCATGCTCCAACCACCTTGCACGCACGCGCGCACGCACCCTTCGCCAAAAACAACGCACCCTGCGCACGCACCGCACCGACGGCCACGAGGTGAAACTCTTGCGTTTCGTGACCTCGTGTTCTCGTGCGCCCTTGCTGGGTTTTTCACATCTCCAGCCGCCCTTCACGCTGCACAAGGTGGGAATCGACTAGAGTCGAGGTTCACGGGAAATCACAGTGAGATTGTTGGAATTGTTGGAGGGAAGTGTTGATGTTGAACGAGTGGATGGAAGACAGGGCCCGAAGGAACATCCTTGCTGCTACCTATCTAGTTTTATGTTTGTGGACAAATTTCAGCGTGAATGAACTGGTCATTGTTGTCCATCCGCAACGTGGCCAGTCCCTTGGCAAAGTTGCTGTGGCAAGCGGTTCAATCAATTCATGTCTGAGAAAATGCGAATGCAAAAGGCCACTCACTGACCTCAGGCTGGTTGAACAATGCATGCTAATGCTATACCCTGTGCTGCTTCCACATGGATGCGGACTTAACATTGATTTGAGTGATGCAAGAGGAGCTTTCACAGATCTGATGTCTCATGCAGACCTCTCGATTGGGTTAAGCATTAAACTAAACCCTTGTGCACTGCGCAGGTGCACATCCGCAGCGACTCGGAAAAGTTGCCGACGGCCTCAACGTGACACCTGGCCGCAGAGTGCAGAAACCATGGGTCCAGCTGCCTTTATAGGGTGGAATTTGCTGCTTTGCATGCGGGGGTATGGGAGTAGCATGGGGTAGTTCCAAATCCTGACAGAGCTATCAATCAAGGTGAACTATGGTTAACTACGCATACTTGCTTGCATGATGTCCATTGAGGAAGAAGCATTTAGTTTGATTTCCTTCACTAGTCACTAGAACCTATAAATACCTATAACATGCATAATATGACATAATTATGTATCATGACAGGATGATGTGAATTAGAGCCGGATTGACTCATGGGACAGAGGTCCATGCTCGAAGTGGTTCTTGATGGCTGATGGAAGCAACTGAACCAAGTTATACAATTGAATTGGCGTTTGGCGTTTCTGAAAGGATTGTGTGTTTGCTGTATCCCCTGCACACATGCAGACATACACCCTTCTTGATAGACGCTCTTCAAGGGCAAATGCAGCAAGTGCACCCATTTTGAACAGCCTGTTTGAGGTTTCAATACCTTGAAGCTGCCGACATATTCCTCGCCGCTCTCTTAGCATGATTGAACTTGTGCGATTGTTCCAAGTCCTTTTTGCGCTAGTTAACATTTTGTACATAGGTAGTTATATAGGGTTGTTTGCTGGGGATCTTCCTAGAGAACTTATCGAGTTGAGGCGCCATCCATCCCACCGAGCTGGCTTCATTGCGATGTTGATCTTGAGAAACTGATGTTTGAAGAAACCGATCGGATGTCTTTAAACCTGAGACCTACAGGGAGCAGCCAAACATGAACACATTACATAGTTTTTTTGACAATTCGAGCAATTCCCGAAGAACAAGTTCATCTGATATTTTTCCGGCCGACCGATGGGTGGGAGTCCAAGGTGGAAAGTCATGAAGGAGAAATTGGAGTTTGTGATTGTTCAGGCCGGACATTTCAACACAGCCGCCCTTGCTTTGCCTGGCTGAGGAGGAAGCAAAGGGGACGAACAACATGTTTTCAACAGCTTGGTCCAAACAACACTAGAGGGATCAGTGTCCAAGCCCTTTGCTTGGTTTGTTTGTTGAACTTTGGCGCAACCATGTACCAGGACCATCCAGAGGTTTCCCCATGGAAGCTCACAAATAGTCCAGGTTAGTCCATTTTGGATGGTCCAGATATGTCCAGATAAGTCACTGTCCTTTCAAGTGATTGGTCATTTTTTAATGGATCTCCCAGCCGTACTTCAGGATGCCGGCTTCGAGTTGGATTGAGCCAGCTGAGACCTGGGTCCGCGCTCCTGCGCTCCTGCGCTGCGAGCGCGTGCGTTCCTGTGCTTTGTAGCCCATGACGAGGACAGCCTCGCTGTACATAGTCAGCTCGCCAAAGAGTGGGCTTAGCTGGTCCGCCCAGCACCAGAGGCTTTGAGGGGAAATCCATGGTCCGGACGTGGAGCAGGACACTGTGAAATGACGGGGGCATTTTGGTCATGAGCTTCATGTTGGGTGATTGGAGAGGTTGGGAGGCACGCTTCCAGCTGCTTAGTGAAGATCATACTGTTTGGTGCTCATCCAAGCCCGGTGCAACTTGGGGGCCCAGCCGGACCGCGTTTCACGCTTAAGAAAAGGCAGTTGTGGATCATGCTACACGAAAGGATAGGATGAGTCCAGGGGTCGACGCCCTTAGCCTAAACATGAGGCTAACCTTGATCATATATGATCATATCATATCAAGCATGGAGTAACTTCCGCCGCCGTCATTGTAAGTGCCGTACAAAAAGAACGAAAGAATGCCACAAACAAACCTGCAATATCTGCATGCACTCCCTAACAAACATGAAAGTGGAGCTTGAGGAAAGGAGTCTAGAGGTCCCTGTTCTGCTTCCATACAGGGAAGAACTGGAAGAACCATGTAGACCTGCAGCGCTGTGTCTGAGGTCTTGGTGGCTGCCCTCGAATTGGCGGGCGTTGCGCAGGAGGCCGGACAACGGAGGAGGCACAATGAGGCTCAGCATTTCAGTGGGTCGGCTTCTGATGGTTTCAAGGGAAGTGAGCTCCAGAAGTTCTGGCAGAAAGGAGACACTACAATCACTGCAAGAGATTAAGACCCAGGTGTCTCTGTGAGACACGGCCGCTAAGCCCGAAACGTGGCAAGGCCACGGTTGTTCTAAAATGTGTTTAAAAGATTCCTTAATCCACTTAGTCATGATTTGTTGGCTGTTTTCACTAGACCAACAGTTCGGTTCGCGACCTTTCCTTCCCTGAGCACCATCCTTCCGTGTGGTTCAGGAAGATGCAGCCACCTACCGCGCAGCCTACGAGGAGGCCAAGGAAGCAGGCCCAGGGTGGATCCTCCACTGAAGAAGCCTTTTGTGCACGCTGACCTTGGTGAAACAACGGTGTTTGCTTCTTTGTCTCTTAGATAGGCCCAAAAAATCCTTGCTATTCCCCACACCTTTGTTCTTGTCTTCAACCCACCTACAAGAAAGCAAGTTTAACTGGCAACTGGTGTAACAGATGTGATTGTGAAGAAAAGAAGTGACCCCCGCAACCAATTGCCGAGACCAGAGGGACCATACTCCCAGGCCCCGTGCCTTCGGACGACCGACGAAGTGGGTCAGTGCAGCTTCCCAGGCGTCGATGAGAGGAAGCTGTCCGAGGCAGAGGACCGGGACCGGCCGAAGACGTCCACGGAGCTTAGCCGCGGCAATGGTATGTTAGGTGTTTTCAAGTGGGCTTGGTGCTTTCAAGTGATGGTGGGTTGATTAGGTTTAGTTTGTTGTCATGGTGTGCCTAGGTTTGGCAGCAGGAAAATCATACGCAAATTAAATGCTGACAGCTAAGCCGCCAGGGTCAAACGCTGCATATTGCGGTTCAAAATGCAATGCCTGTTCAGTGGGAAGTGTGGCACCCAATGAAACAAACACAATCACACACTTAGATAATAGGTTTGCAGTTACATCTTTTCCCCGACGAAAAGAGTGGCTCAACGGAAAGGTGAAGCGTCCAAATACTTGAAGGTGTTTCAACAAATGGTTTGTGCACATTTGCAGCTCACGAAACGGTGGTTTAAACAGTCATTAAAAAAGCAGGTACGTTTACACGGGTCCCAGAGGTCTTCGTTGGCCACCGCTCCTCTGGGACCCCGGTGGCCCCCTGCTTGCAGAAAACTCTTAGAACTTTGCGGCGCTCTCGCACAAAACCTGAATAGGCACCTAAAAAGCCTTAGAAGCGAGAGAACGAAAGCAGAAAAAACAGCGCTAAAAGGGCAGGAGAGAAAGATAGGGGTAGCAAAAAGTGACTACTTAGCCCTTGACTGGGGTAGGGAAATGAGGCTAAAGAACCACCTAAAAAAAAGCCGCTTACCTCAACTGGTTTGATGTTGCATTATTGAAGACGCTCAGGGTGAGAGCGGTCCCGTGGCCTGATGATGTTCGGGTAGGGTTTAGCGTCAGCTGCTTAGGCTTGTGGGGCCTGTAGGTCCTCTAACCTGGGTCTTGTTGGGTTCCCTCTGATTGGGTTGCTTAAACCCTGGGGTCATGTTGACCTGGTGTTAGTTAGCCGCAGTGTGCTCAGATGTGAGGTGAGCTGTTTGTCAGTTCATGGCACTGCGGTTGATTGGTTTTTGACGAGAAGTGTCCAGTCAGTTCCGGATCAGAGGATTCTGAGCCCAAGCGCAGGAAACCAGACAAGCCTGACAAGTCGAAGCGCGCTGCAGTGCCCAAAGCTCTGAAAGGCCTATCGGCGCGCAACAAGAAAGGCGTTCCATATTGCTTCAATTTCAATTTGGCCCATGGTTGCACCGGAAAAGCTAGTGGCACACCTTTGCGCTGCTCTCGAGGACTCCATACGTGCATGAAGTGTGGGCGCGAGCATGGCCAACACGAATGCCGCGACTGACTATCAGCTGGTGGTGCTCTATGCCTTGAGATCTCTGCAGGCGATCCAAGTATCGCGCCGCATTTGCGACAGCGTGGTTTGCCAGTTCTACATTTGAAGCACAATTTGCAAGCGCCTTTGCAGCGGGAGCTCTTGCAGGAGCTTTTGGACTCCGATTCAATTTTTTGTGCAACTTTCAGATTGCTACCTGATTTTGATTTGCGCAATGGTGTTTGGATTGGGTTCTGGCGCAATGTGTTGAGCTGCATGAAAGAAACTGCTTGTGGTGCATCTGCGGGAACTCAGATCACAGTTTTTGGCAACGAATTGAAGAATTTTGGTGCAATTCTGAACGAAATTATTGGAAGGTGACTGTAGACTTGTGTGAATATGGTATGCGCTCCTGCTCTTCTTTCACGATACTGTGCAATACGTCAGCGTTCTGCGCATTGCAGCGCCTTTGTTCACATGACCACAGGGTAAGCCCCAGCAACATGGAGCAACAGTTACCCGCCGCTTTTTGCAAACACTGGTCTCACTTATTCGAAGATTTGGTTTCTGGCTCTGGTTGGTCCGGGGTTGACCCCAGTGTACCTGATTTGCAAAACCGCGCAAGTTTGGGTTGGCAACCACGTGGGTGCAAATTACCACCACTTTTGACTGACTTTCTTGAACCTCAGGCGTACGACGTTGCAGAACATCCGGATCTCGCTGACATTTTACCTGGGTGCCGCATTCCTGACGGTCTGGGTTTTCCAAAAGGATCGAGGGTCTTGCGTGGTGCTGGTCAAAATGGTTTTGCGATGGTGGGCTTGCCTCGCGAACCCTTAGCTTTTTTGAGCGCAGCGAGTGAATTAGTACACCCAGTGGAGCGGGCCGGCCGAGTGAGCTCTGCCGTAGCAGCTGCAGTGGCTTCGCATCGAGAGCTGACACCTCTAGATTTGCTCAAAGCACGGCAGCAGTTTTTCCGCCAGGCTTTGGAGACTATCAAAAACTTGAGTGCGCGCGAGGCACATCTGCATGAGAACATGCCATCGCACCTCGCCAAAGTTATGCGGGGCAAGCGCTTATTGTTTTTGGATAAGCTGTTGACAGACATTGGCCATCCAGACGACACTTTGTTTGACAACCTATCCAAAGGTTTCCCCTTGTTTGGTTGGTTGACAAAAACCGGGCTTTTCCCTGAAAGTTGGTGTCCTCCTGCCCTTCATCCTAGTGAACTGTTACGTGTTGCGCGGAAGCAAAATCACTGGATATTGAATTCCTCTCAGCGCAGCTCCCATCAGCTGGAGATCGATGAAGCGGTGTGGCGCACCACAATGGACGAGGTCAACAAGGGTTGGGCCGAGGGCCCCTTTTCTCTCGTGGAAGCCGAAGGCATAACAACAAGTCAGCTCATCGTCTCAAGACGCTTTGGCGTGGCGCAAAAGACAAAGGTTCGCGCAATTGATGATTTCTCTGCTAGTAACATCAATGCGTGCACTGGCGCCAAAGAGAAAGTCCGGGTTGAAAGTGTCGACGCAGCCGCCACCATGATCCGCACTTGGATGAAAGCTTTTGAAGGCACTGGCCGCGCCCTAGTTGGCCGAACCTATGACCTGAAGTCAGCTTATCGCCAACTGGGCATCAGCGCCGAACACTTGCATGCTGCTTGGATTTCTGTATTTGATCCATCCAGCCAGGGCGCAAAACTTTTTCGCCTCAATGCCTTGCCTTTTGGGGCGTCAGCGTCTGTCTCCAACTTTTTGCGTTGCGCAGAAGCCTTGAAAGCCGTTGGGGCCAAGCTGCTGAATTTTGCGTGATTTTTCGACGACTTCATTTTGGTCACCCCCGCTGACATGGCGCCCGAGACAGACAAAGCGGTCAAGCTTTGCTTCAAATTGTTGGGGTGGACTCTCGCATCAGCTGACGAGAAGTGCAAACCTTTCTCCACGACTTTCACTGCGCTTGGTGTGGTTTTTGACTTGACCGAAGCTCCGGCAGGCATTCTGCGCATATCGAACACTGCCTCCCGGAAACTGGAGCTATCCGGTGTCATTGATGACGTACTGGAATCCAAGCGGCTCAGTGCCAAGGCAGCATCTTCATTGCGGTCGCGGCTGAATTTTGCGGATGCTCAAATTTTTGGCCGCTACGCCAAGAAGGCCTTGCAGCTATTGGGCGAGCATGCAGCATGTCCTTCTTCTGACGTTGTAGATGGGGGTTTGCTTTTGGCTCTGAAGTGGCTAAAAGAAAGGGTACTGCAAGGAAGCCCCAAAGTGGTGTCCATTCAAAGGCGCCCAACCTGGCTGCTTTTCTTGGACGGAGCGTGTGAAGGCGAGGGAAGGTGCCTCTCTCAGCTGCTCCATTGGAGCAGTCTTGGTACATAAAGATCTTGGTGCCAGAGCATGTTTTGGAGAAACACTGCCCGCCGGCATTGTTGACATGTGGCATAGTCGAGGAGCCTCACAGCTCATTTTCGAAGCCGAGCTTATGCCGTACCTGGTGGCACTGAGATCGTGGGCAGATCTCCTGAGAGGGGCCCAGGTTTTAATATTCATTGACAATGATGCGGCGAGGCATGCCTGGATTACGGCTGGAGCCAAATCACCCTATGCTTCTACAATGATTCATGAGGCTTTGACATTGGAAGCCTCCTTAGATGTTGCTTCATACTTTTGTCGCGTGCCTAGTCACTCGAACCTGGCCGATGATCCTTCCAGATTAGTGTTCACGACGTGTGAACGTTTGGGGGCTCACAGGCATCGGATTGACGAGCATTTCCTCTTTGAATGTGCTGGCGCATGCTGATGTAGAGGGGGGGTGTTTATGGTCCCCATCATGTTAGGCATGCTTGGGCCATG